GAAAACACAACTTGGTGTGATTATTTTCTAATTTTACATGTCAAATATACATTTATGTATATATTGGTTATAATGTATTTGTTATAAACATTTTGCAATATTAAACAGCGAGAGAGAGAGAGAGAGATAGTTAGATATGGTTTAGTTTGAATGTATATTACTTACTGTTTTCCGTTTTAATAGAGTCCAAAACAAACTCCCCGCTCATTGTGTGTGGTTTTTAGTAATTATAATTTTAATTAAGTATGCTTAAAGTTTTAGTTAACATTTTAACTGTTAATTATTTCAAAAACTTATATTTAAAAATGATTAGCTATTCAGCTTTAATGAGTGTTTCGCACTTTGATATTTTAGCAATATATTAATGTATGGTATTTTATATTGTAACTATTTTTGTATTTAATTAATTCTTATACGTAGGTTTGCCCAGGATTTAATATTATATACGTTATAATTAGAGATGATATTATTCGGGAGTAAAATCACCCAAATTTGGTCGGGAATCGGGAATAAAAAAATGATTTTTTTGGGAATTCCCTAAAATATGTTAAATTCAGGAATATTGAAAGAAAACAGTTGTTTATTTTTACTCTATTACCACTTTGGTAACTTGTATAATTACATTAATAACTCTCAAAACTAGATGTTATTCCCGTGCATTCTTTATATTGATTATATTTGGGAATTCCCGAAAAATATCATCTCTAGTTATAATAATTGTCAAATCACCATCATGTTGCACTTGCTTGTGTCTAGTCCAGATTTGTCTAGATTTTTCAATGTCTATATGTTTTATTATCGGCAATCTTATGGATAATGTCATTGAAATTGCAATTAATGTACTTTACATTGTTTAGTTACATTTATGATCTAATAAATCACTAATTAATACATTATAATTACATTATTATAAGTTAATATAATTAATACTTTACTTTTACTAAATTAATAAAATATTAGCGATTTATTTAAGATAGATTAAAATAAATATTTATGAATTGTCATTGTTTTAGAAGGTTATGTCTATAATTAAATTAAATTTATATTATATTTAATTACATGACAAATTTAACATTATTATTACAAACAAATAAAACTATCATGTGTGTTGCAAAGCTTTTATTTAACAAAGACCACATTAATTTTGAATTAACTTGTAGGTTCTACTAAATTGTTTTGAACGTTCAAGGTAAAATAAAATAATATATAGAAACAACTATTTATACTACGAACAAAATATTAATCCGGTTTTCATTGGTTGATTGATTAATCCGTTATATAACTGTTATTAATATAATAAGGTAGAAAAATAATGTTTATTATATAAAAACATGCTAGAAATATATAAAATAAAATATTTCACAACGTATTATTTTTATTTTAAAATTTTTATGGTAGAAAAACCTTGAGATTTGAGTTAATACTCAGTTTATATGCGAATTATGTTTGTTTTGTATTAATAAAAATGTAATAAAATTTTTTTATTACTTAAAGATGCTATAAAACTATAGTGTACTCTCGTTATAACACACAGAAAACTTGTTTAAATAAAATAAATATAATTCATTAAAACTTGTAATAGTAATTAAAATATCTAAATAACAAAATACATATAATTATTTAAAAGTTAACTAAAAATTCCGTTAATTTCTAATAAATGACTAATTTTAATGTTATTACACAATATAATCAACTGAAGTGCATATAGTGTACATAATTTATCTCGATCTCTATACTATTTACAATACATTTGTGTTATATGTGTCGAGTATATGACATAGAAATAATAATTTAATGATAACTAATATTAATATAATCAGCAAAAATATTTTACTGATGATAAAAACAACTATACATGTAACATACTGTACAGTACATTATATCAGTGTATTAGCAATGATATTGCGTAAACAATGTAATTTTCAATTTCATCTCAAGTGTTTTATTTGCCTGTTTTATGAGTAAAAACAAAATTAAATTTTCTACAAACTTTCCATGATCATTATTTTTACAATTTTATTTTTTATTGAAGTAATTAAATAATTAATAATAATAATAATTGTTACAATGGATTCTCAAACATTAAATTCACATATTATTCAATGGAATACAATATCAATAATATATCAGTTTGTCATATGTTTAGTCATTGGTATATTTGTGCTGACCATGGTCTTTTGGCTGGTTATTGAGATTGTTCATTTAAGGGACCGGTAAGTGCTGTTTACCTTGACATCATTAATATATTATAAATTTATAATTGTACATAATAATTTATAAATTAAATCACGCACCAGTTAGTTCTATATAAACAGTTATAAATCAAACAACTAGCTTAATCAAATAATAATTATTCTATGATTACATTATTCGAATACATATGATTTAAAATAACATAGTTTTACATAAATATATAATTGTTTAAGTTTAAGTTACATGTATAATTATGGTTTGTAACTATATTTAGTTTAAATAAATATGTTATTGGTAATATTAATTAACACGTGGTATTTTAATTATAGCAAAATATTACATATTGAGCTCCAGAAGAATAAAATGGATGGCGTTATAGATGTGCAACGATTGGCTGATATAAATAATAAAAATCTTGGTAGTAGTAATCAGTCGGCTAGTAAACCATTATTAATTAGTAATAAATTAAATAATAATGACCATGATATCAAGCTGGAAATAATCAGTGAGGCTAGTGATTCCGAAGCAGAGACCAAGGGTTAATGAAAACACAACTTGGTGTGATTATTTTCTAATTTTACATGTCAAATATACATTTATGTATATATTGGTTATAATGTATTTGTTATAAACATTTTGCAATATTAAACAGCGAAAGAGAGAGAGAGAGAGAGAGAGAAAATAATATTTAATTTAAATAATTTATTAAAATTTAATAAAACAGTACTGTATATACTTATAAGAATATATGCTTATAATATTTGTAAATAAGTACTATGTAACTTAACAAAAATTTATGTAAATAAAACGTAACTATTCTCAATACAATTGAATTAAATAAAATATTTCAAAGCTTAATACAATGGTTGCTATAAGAGAATTACAGTATATTGATATAAAAATATAAATGTAAATTGTTAAAATTAGAAAATTGCATGAAACATAATCAATAAATTTTATGTATTATATATTTGAATAAATAATCTATTTGACAAAAGCAAAACTACATTATTCATAAGTACCAAAAAGTAAATAAATTAGTTATTCAAATGTTTACTACAATTAACATTTAAGTTATTCTAATATTTATCAAACATGTAATAAATTAAAATTTATAAATAATTCGATCTGGATAACTCTTCTATTAATATATAGATACAGTATTTAGCCATCAATGTTTACCATAGAGTTTACCGATTTATTTGACTTAAATTATTTGACTTTAATGTTTAGCTTAATGGGAAATTTTCCATCAAGCTAAAGTTGCCATCAAGCTAAATTTTCCATTAAGTCAAATAAATCGGTAAACTCTATAACATTTTAGTTTCAACCCCCTAGTAAATTTAAAACAATAAAAATAGACAATTAATGATAAACTAGAAACTATAGTAGTATTAATTAAATAAATGTTTATTAGGTTATATTATTATACAAATTAATATAAATTTGTATACTATTGTACAGCACTGTTGTAATCCTTGACACAATTAATTTTGACGTATAATCAATTGGTGAATAAACTTTATATTATTAAATCAGCTTAATTATTACAATGGTATGAACAAACAATAAATTAATCTGTGTCAATAGAAAAAGTCAGTTTGCAATCAAACATATGTTAATCCAACCTAACAAGGACTTTTTAGTGCAAAATAATTAAAATTATTATGATTAAATATTTATGCAGTTTACTTACTAATGTTTTTCCATTGGTTTAATTATTTGTAATAGAATTAATTAAATACATTATTGCTCTAAATAACTTAGACATGGTAGATAATTTTATACATTAATTTACCATAACCGAAATAATAATATTAGCTAATTTATTTATGTAATATATTTTATTTTGTTCAGTTATAATGGAAAAATTGTAATATGTAAATTTATAGCATTTCCATTAGGGTTTATGAATAAATCAATTAAACCTGTACAATTACCATGTTATTTATTATAATATTTATTATAAATTTTTATTTGTGCTAAATTTACATAGACCTAAAATTAAAATGCGGGATAATAATTATTTTATAATTTCTAATCCAAAATGATGATGGTTCATTACTAATGGTAAATCTAATTAAAATGATTTAAAATTAGGGGTAACTAATAAATTTTACACAGCGTTTAAATATTATATATTTCTTGCAATTGTAAAGCAATAATTAATATACTGTACAATATAATTTACCTGTATTAAGTTTAAGTTAATAGGTCAGTAAATTAGATTATTTAATTGAGTTTAAGTTGCTGTTCACATTAAGATTTTTGGCTGAAATTGAGTTAATTGTGTAAATATTATATTATATTTTAAAATCAATTATAATATCAGTTGAAGCGGATGTTAGTTTAAATTCGGGTAAATATTTGATGATAAATTGTTCAAAGTACTTAAAATGTACTACAACATTGTTCAATAAAATTACTCTACCTTAACATGTACTGTAAATACTCTATAAGTACTCTACCAATGTACTAATATACTAACCCAATTGTATAAATAACCAGTGTACTTTACTATTTGATATTTTGAATTAGAATTATGTGTTTATTTAAGTGTTACTCAAAATATTTGTAAAATAACGTACATAGTAATTTTTCGAATTAATTCATTCTATCAATAGTTTACTAACGAGCAATAGTTGGCCACTTAAGTTGCAATATCGGTATTAAAGGCCACTAATTGTGTAGTTTAAACTAAATAAAATAATTTAACGCTAATATCTCGGGCTGATAGCCCAATGGATGCCTCTGGCAGGGGGTTTAAGTTGCAATTCTTATGTGTTCTCTCTCTCTCTCTCTCTCTCTCTCTCTCTCGACTAATCGCTAGTTTATACAGAGAGAGAGAGAGAGAGATTTAGTGGACATAAGTTTTTGTTGAGTATTAATGTTATAACTTCACCAATACTTACACGTAGATTATGGGCCAGCGGGTGCCGACCCCAGTACAGGGGCTGGCGAGGTCTGGGCCGCTACTTCCGCCGGTGGCAGACCATCATCGACGCGGCCGTATTGGCCGTAACGATAGGCGTACTATTCGTGCCGGAAAAGGGCCGGGAGTCGCACGTGGCGTACGCGGCGGCCGCCTTCCGCGGCTTTCACCGGTGCTTCCAAGTGGTCCGACTCGTGGCTGTGGGCCGTAAGCCTCGCCGCGGGTCCGCCCGTGGCTTAGCTCAGGCACCGTTTCGCCCGTTTAAGACACTATACACGGTGATGGGCGCCCAGCGGGAGTCACTGATCGTGGTGTTTTATATCATGTTTGTGGTGATGTGTTTGGCCGCGTTTCTCATATACCTGGCCGAGAGTCCCACTAATCCAGCTTTTGCTACCGTTGGCGATGGTTTTTGGTTTACGGTAGGTATGATGTGTTAGCCACCCCTTTACTATGTTTGTTATTTTATAGATACAAACGGTAACCACCATTGGTTACGGCGATGAAGTGCCGGTAAGCACAACCTATAATACCCCAAGAGAGGGTCTAACATTATAAATAACACTTTGTAATTTCATATAATTAGAAAAGTGTTGTGGGTAAATTTGTGGCCTCAATCATTATCATAGTGGGTTTTGTGTTGTACGCACTGCCGGCCGGTATTATCGGCGCCGGTTTGGCCATCGCTGGTCAACAAGAGTCTGTGGTCGGCGCGGTTGTCGGAGCATCCAATAGGGCCGAACTGGTGCCGGCCGTTCAGCTCATACAGGCCTGTTGGAGGTACTGGTGCTCATGTAATACGCATTATAGTTAATATAATTAAGTAATATTTGTTATAACAGACAATATGCCGCCCATCCGACCACCAAATCCACGGTCACGTGGTATACGACTGCCAATCGGGTGATAGCGGACCGGACGGAGCGCAATGTCGTGCGATTCGTGCGACGCTTACGTCTGGTACGCGCCGTACGTGTGTTTAGCGAAACGCGCCGTAAGTCTGACGCAAACTATAGGCTTGAGAGGGAAGAGGCGCTGCATAGGGCCACTACAGGTGCGCTGAATGCGTTGCGATCCGAGTTGGCTGATAGGGACAGTCGGTTGGCCGCAGACGTGGCCACTAGACTGACCGCCGAAATGGACGCAAAGTTTGCCAAACAGTTTGATTTGTTGCACAATTTGTTGAATAATAATAAAAACTTTGGTTAACTTATTGAGTAATAGAATATTCTGATATTTTTGTGATGTTTTTATCTAGATTGTTATTTTTTATGTTTGCTTAATGTATTTTATTTTTGTTTAATAAATAATTTTACAATAATCAATTTACAATTATTTATTTTATTCTACATCAGTACAAAAATGCACTTAATATACTTATAAAATAAAGTTCTCTTAATAATAGTTTTATTGTACTGTATTAGACAGTCTGTATACCTGAATATACTTTTATTGTACATGCAACCTGGATTAATTATTATGATGATCTAGCAAATTTCATATATGACAATGAACATACATACAACAGATTAACACACTTACAAAATGTCCCATTGCAATTGCATAACAAAGTATGACAACAAAATGCAGCAATAATAGTTTTTACTAGATTTATTTAACTAATAAAAATAAAGTGTTTTAAATCACATTTACACAATCACATTAATGTAAAGAATTAATAATACAATTCATATAATTAATATAATTTACATTTAATATAATTAATTATAGTAAAAAATAATGAGCATTGAATTAAACACCGAAAGCAATCGCACTGAAAATGGTATGTAAAATAAACTGTACACTATAAGTTTTAAACTAACACCAAAATCAATTTACTAATATAATTATATCCATTTATATATCCTGTATATATTTGTGATTCTCCATAGAAAACGATAATAACTTTATACTACGCTCGAAGCCATTAATAGAGGAGTTAAAAATCCGATTGTCATCTATTCAGGTGGACAACAATACAATTAGGGTAATAAACAACACAATTAATCGTGGCCAATTAAACGTGATTAACAATCTGGATACACAAACCCGTATGTCTCTTAAACGGGTTGAAAGCAACATGGCCACCACGATTAACAGCGGAGCACAGGTCACTCGGAGTGAATCGACCATGATCACCAATCTGGGTACAGGCAAACCCGGAGCAGGCCAACTGTCACCGACACCAACTTTTACAGTCTACCAGCGTCTACAGCGCACTGTTTATGAGTTTCTATGCTCGCCTACCGGTGCTCTGTCCGCCACTTATCACACGTCGGTGTTTTTGTTTTCCATAATGTGTTTGGTGTTGACTGTGTTGGTGACGATACCCCGATTTGAGCCAACCTGTTGGCCAATTATGGTGGCCGTCGAGATTGCAATTGTCGCCTGGGTTGGGCTAGAGTTTTTGATCAGGTATTTATAAAATAGTGTCAGGCAATTTTATTTGCTTATTAAAATTAATTAATAAACTATTAATTATTTAGCAACCATAGTAAAATATATCAAATTATAAATGTTTCAAATTAAACCACCCTAGGACAAGCAATAGTGATTACATCAATTACATAATAATACTAACATGGTAATAATATTTGCAGATTATGGGCCAGCGGTTATCGGCCAAAATACCGTGGTTGGCTCGGTCTAGCCCGGTACCTCATGCACTGGCAAACCATCATCGATTTCGTGGTGTTTGCCGTATCATTAGGCATACTATTCATACAGCCATCAGTGCAAAACGCCCATGTCATATACTTGGCCGCAGCCCTACGTGGTATTCATCGCTTTTTCCAAGTCGTACGCATAGTGTCTACACTTAATGGGGGTTCATATGGTGTGTCCACCGGTAGTGGTGGTAGTGGCCGACCCTTCCGGCCGTTTCGCATACTGTGGTCAGTGCTCCGTTCGCAGGCCCAGGAGTTGGCCGTTGTTTTCTACGTTGGTTTTGTACTGTATTTTATATCCGCTTATCTTATATTTGTGGCCGAGAGTCCATACAATCCCCAGTTCGGCACCATTGCCGAGGGCTTGTGGTGGTCGGTAAGTGTTAACCATGTGTGCTTAACCCTACTTAACCCTCGTTTAATCTAGCTCAATCTTAATGCAGTATTGTATATTTTAAAAAGTGTTTATTTAGCCTACATTTAATTAATGTTTGTATGCTTTTTTGTTTGACCAAGGTGGAAACACTATTCACCATAGCATACGGCGACGAAATACCGGCAAGTCATATTGTTTTGGCATGCTTGCTAAATATATACCATGCAAAATTAAATTTTTAATTATGTTGTGAGATAATGAAATTTAAATATTATTATCATTTTGAATATACAGATAACGATCCCGGGCAAATTTGTGGCCTCCGTGGTTATTATATTAGGCTATTGTATATTTTCACTGCCGGCTGGTATTATCGGTGCCGGTCTGGCCATTGAAGTGAACAAAGATCAGATTAATGTCAAAAATGGGGCAGATGTGGCGCCGGCCGCTCAGCTCATACAAGCCTGTTGGAGGTACTGTTGCTCTGCGTTATACCCATTATAATCAATATAATTAATTCATATTTATTAAACTAGACACTATGCCGCCCACCCGACCACTAAATCCACGGCCACTTGGGTTACGGCCAGCGATCGGGTGATAGCGGACCGGACGGAGCGTAATGTCGTGCGATTCGTGCGACGCTTACGTCTGTTACGCGCCGTACGTGTGTTTAGTGAAACGCGTCGTACGGTTGACATCCGTGACCTATACGAGAGCACACGAGCTCAACACGTGCTAACTTTGGCCAAATTGAAAGCGTTAGAGTCCAAGTGTGAGGTCAGTCACAATGAGTTGAGCGACAGATTGGCCACAATTGAGAGGTCAACTAAAGAGGTGACCGATTTGTTGCGGACCTTGGTGAATAATCAAACAAAATATCCAGGGTAGTTTTCTAATCAATGTTTGAATAATTGTAATTTTTAACCTGCATTTATTATTGCATATAAGACTTGTATTTAATTTTACAATTCCATCTTTCGCTCGTACACTACACTACAATTGCATCTTGTACATTGTTCAATGTTAATGTTGCCCAATATAATAAAATAAATAATATTTTTGTCGTTACACCTAAATCATTTATTATTATTTTACATGTATTTTAATGTTTCAATTATAATGATTTAGCATATTACAAGATTGTAATTGCAGTATGGTAAAATATCCGTTAAATATATGCACATAAAAATATTTTAAATTTTAATTAAAATAAATAATTATAACAAATAATATACTTGATAAAACTAGTGTAATTAATTACTAGATGCAATGAATAACAATCATACACGAAATGATTTGCAAAATGGTATTGTACTTAATATTTTAAAATAAATTTGTATTTATGGATAATTTTAAATAAAATGTGCATAAACCAATTACCCATATTATACAACAATATTTTATTCAACAACTTATTTTACCCACACCCTGTTTACCCCATGCCCCACTATATAGCCAATGAGGGTAACTTTATTCTGCGCCCGAAGGGTATTATATCACGACTAAAGACCCGTTTGTCCATAAAACGAGCGGAAAGTAACATGGTTACTGCACTGACTCACTCGGGGTTTAATAATAACGAATCAACCATGATCAAAAACCTAGACACGGGAAAAACTGAGCAACAACACCGGCAATCACCGCCAGCTCACACAGTTTACCAGCGCCTACAGCGTCAAGTCTATGAGTTTCTGTACGCACCCGCCGGCGCCCTGTCCTACATATACCACGTGGCGGTGTTTCTGCTAGTGTTTATGTGCCTAATACTGACAGTGTTGATCACTGTACCCCGATTTGCGGTCACCTCGTGGGACGTTATGTTCAACGTTGAGATTGTTATTATCGCCTGGTTTGGCGTCGAGTTTGCAGTCAGGTATTATGTGGACTAAATTGAATGTTTAAATTAAGGAGGTTAATTATAAAATATCACTATTGTACTGCGCGTATAAATTGCCTATGCTGTGAATAATGTAAACTGTAAATTATATTGTAGCATCGATATAATTCACTGTAGATCAGCCTAGTATGTTATTATATTGAGACACACCTGCATTTTCAGATTATGGGCCAGTGGTTATCGGCGCGCGTACCGGGGCTGGCGTGGTCTAGCGCGGTACCTGCTACGCTGGCAGACCATCATCGATTTCGTACTACTAGTCGTATCGTTTGGCGTACTATTTGTACGGCGCGATACATCGGCCCAAAACTCGCACGTTATCTACGCGGCCGCAGCCCTGCGCGGGTTTCACCGCTTTTTTCAAGTCATACGTATTGTGTCGACAGTGAGACGGGGCTCGACTAGTGGTGGTGATAGTGGCCGACCCTTTCGGCCCTTTCGCGTGCTGTTATCGGTGGTCAGATCGCAGGGTCAGGAGCTGTTGATCGCCTTTTATATCGGTTTTGTGGTGTTTTGTTTGTCCACTTATCTCATATTTGTCGCCGAGAGTCCGCACAATCCCGACTTTGCTACTATTGGTAAGAGTATGTGGTGGGTGGTAAGTGACCTTTTAAATTTTACCTAGATTGTACAGCAATTGGGTAATTAATTGATTATGGATGTAGTTTTTCTAAATGTTGTTCTACAAGTTTAATATTCTGTATTATTTATACTGATAAACATACAGCGTTTTTAGAAATGTTATAAATTATAACTTATAATTGATCAAGCCATTAACTTTTATATAACCTTTGCATTTTATTTTTATGCACTAACACACAGAATGCATACTAAAACACTAAAACTTATGTATTTAAAAATTAACTTGTTGTTAATAATTTATACATGCTAAGGTGGAAACATTGTCCACTGTTGGTTATGGTGATGAAGTACCGGTATGTGCACATACAGTAGTTCAAAAAGCATATGAATGTAATGTTACTAAATACAATGGTACTAGATAACAACTGTGGGCAAATTTGTGGCCTCGATCATTATCATATTTGGCGTTTTGTTATTTTCACTGCCGGCGGGTATTATCGGCGCCGGTCTGGCCATCGAAGTGCGTCAAAATGAGATCGATGTGCACAATAAGGCAGATGTAGTGCCAGCCGTACAGCTCATACAGGCCTGTTGGAGGTACTGGTGCTATTGTAACACCCATTATAACTAATATTATTAATCAAAATTAATTTAATTAGACACTATGCCGCCCATCCGACCAGCAAATCCACGGCCACTTGGGTTACGGCTTGCGATCGGGTGATAGCGGACCGAACGGAGCGTAATGTCGTGCGATTCGTGCGACGCTTACGTCTGTTACGCGCCGTACGTGTGTTTCGTGAAACGCGCCATACGGTTGACATCCGTGACCTATACGAGCGCACACGCGCTCAACACGTGCTAACTTTGGCTAAATTGAAAGCGTTGTGGTCGGAGTTGGAGGACCGGGAGGTACGGCACTCGCGTTTGGCCAGTGATTTAATGGATAGGTTGGCCGGCATTGAGGCCGCGAATCGGGAAATGGCCGACAAGTTTGACAAACAGTTTGATTTGTTAAAGAATTTGCTGAGCAATCAATTAAGTGTTAATGAAGTGTAGGATAAACCATATTCAATGTGCAATTCATTATGTATTACGTTATTTGCGGTAAATTACTCGGTAATAAATAACTCTTGAAAACGTAAAAATTGAACTATAAAATTAATAACTTTTTTTGTCAATAATTTAAATATTTATATGATAAATAATATTAAAATGCAACTGTTATCTTATATTAAATATTTATTATGATCGATATGTTATTTGTAATGTTTAAACCAAATAATTATTTAAATTTATCACGTTATTAACTAGGAAAATTTTAGTAAAATTTTAAATTTAATTAGATAAATAGATAAAGCTGTTATATTTTTGATTTTCCATGTTGTTTAATAAAATTTCGTACATTATAAATAAACTTACATAATGTCTTAGCAAATGATAATAGTCATATTCATTTTTAGTAACATTGTCAATTTAACATAATGTCACTTTTAGGCACTCCGAATTAATGGTTTCACAACATGGACCTACTATTGCCATTTTGGCGTGTTTGTTTCTCTATAATATCACTTTTAGGCACTCTAAATAATAGGTTTCACAACATGGACCTAATTTTGCCATTTAGATCAATTTGTACATTTATTATATCACTTTGAGGCAGTCCGAATTATTGGTTTCACAACATGGACCTTATGAATTATTGGTTTCACAACATGGACCTACTATTGCCATCTAAATCAGTTTGTACATTTATTATATCACTTTGAGACAGTCCGAATTATTGGTTTCACAACATGGACCTAATTTTGCCATCTTGGCGTGTTTGTTTCTCTATAATATTACTTTTAGGCACTTTAAATAATAGATTTCACAACATGGACCTAATTTTACCATCTTGGCGTGTTTGTTTCTCTATAATATCACTTTTAAGCACTCCGAATTATTGGTTTCACAACATAGACCTTATTTTGCCATCTTGGCGTGTTTGTTTCTCTATATCACTTTTAGGCACTCTAAATAATAGGTTTCACAACATGGACCTTATTTTGCCATCTTGGCGTTTTTGTTTCTCTATAATATCACTTTTAGGCACTTTAAATAATAGATTTCACAACATGGACCTAATTTTACCATCTTGGCGTGTTTGTTTCTCTATAATATTACTTTTAGGCACTTTAAATAATAGATTTCACAACATGGACCTAATTTTACACTCTTGGCGTGTTTGTTTCTCTATAATATAACTTTTAGGCAGTCCGAATTATTGGTTTCACAACATGGACCTAATTTTGCCATCTAGATCAATTTGTACATTTATTATATCACTTTGAGGCAGTCCGAATTATTGGTTTCACAACATGGACCTACTATTGCCATCTAAATCAGTTTGTACATTTATTATATCACTTTGAGGCAGTCCGAATTATTGGTTTCACAACATGGACCTTATTTTGCCATCTTGGCGTGTTTGTTTCTCTATAATATCACTTTTAAGCACTCCGAATTATTGGTTTCACAACATGGACCTTATTTTGCCATCTTGGCGTGTTTGTTTCTCTATAATATCCTTTAGGCACTTTAAATAATAGATTTCACAACATGGACCTTATTTTGCCATCTTGGCGTGTTTGTTTCTCTATAATATCACTTTTAGGCACTCTAAATAATAGGTTTCACAACATAAACCTAATTTTGCCATCTAGATCAGTTTGTACATTTATTATATCACTTTTAGGCAGTCCGAATTATTGGTTTCACAACATGGACCTAATTTTGCCATCTAGATCAATTTGTACATTTATTATATCACTTTGAGGCAGTCCGAATTATTGGTTCACAACATGGACCTTATTTTGCCATCTTTAGGCACTTTAAATAATAGATTTCACAACATGGACCTAATTTTGCCATCTAGATCAATTTGTACATTTATTATATCACTTTGAGGCAGTCCGAATTATTGGTTTCACAACATGGACCTAATTTTACCATCTTGGCGTGTTTGTTTCTCTATAATATCACTTTTAATCACTCTAAATAATAGGTTTCACAACATGGACCTTATTTTGCCATCTTGTCGTGTTTGTTTCTCTATAATATCCTTTTTAGGCATGTTAAATAATAGATTTCACAACATGGACCTAATTTTAACATCTTGGCGTATTTGGTCTCTATAATATCACTTTTAGGCACTCTGTATTATTGGTTTCACAACATGGATCTAATTTTGCCATCTTGGCGTGTTTGTTCATTTATTCTATCACGTTGAGGCACTCCGAATTATTGGTTTCACAAAACGCATCTGCGATAACTACGGAGTGTATTGTGTGAGTTAGAGCACCGGGTATTGCAATGTGTGTATCAGTGTTACAAACGGGAGCCGGACACTTGCTCGAAAGACATTTGAACGAAATACACTTGCTCGAAAATTTTTAATTGCTACTTTTAACATTATAATTAATATAAAATAGAAATATAATTATACAAATTATTAAAATAATCTTATTTAATTTATAATTAATAGTTAAAATACAAAATAAATAATATAATTTATCATATTGTTAGTAAAGTAAAGTAAAGTAAAGCATCCTTTTATTGGAATCATTATCAGCACTGCTGGTATTCTTAATAATCCAATTACTTTTAGTGTTTTTGATATACAATACATATTACATATTTCAAACTTTTCATTTATACATATCATATAACATATAGTCTATATTCTACTGTTTGCGTTAGCGATGTGTGTTGCGTGTCGTCTGTATGGGATGTGATGTCAGTGTATTGTCGTTCGAATAGCTGGACTTCTCATCGATTTGATCTTCGATTGCAGACCAGGAGCTCGTATTACTGGGAGTCGAACCCCATCTTGTAGGCCCGGGAGTGCAGTGATCAGCTCAGTCTAAAGGTTGCCCCATAGAAAACCAACTCTGAGCTATCGTCGAGCCATAGGATAAGATAAGTTAGTTTAGTCAAAATATTTGTTATGAAAATTAATATTTTTAGTAATTAATTTAATATTATTGATATTTTATGTTAGTTAGTAGCAATTTAAAAATTTCGAGAAAGTGTATTTCGAACAAGTGTCCATGACCCTTACAAACTTGGTAAAAACATTAACAAGTGCATTTATAAACAAGCTTGCTGTGATACCAAATCAAATAGGCCATTATGAAAAACAACTAGGTGCTAGTGTGCGCCCATTTGGCCCTGCTACTATCGGTGTGCTGGGCATACGTGCCCCTATACCAGGTGGCCAACCAGGACCTACTCAAAGGCATAATACTGGGCGCCCTGTTGACCAGCCAAAAGCACCCATCACACTTTTTAAACGTCCTGCCTGTGCCATATTATAAGTAAGTATTTTTACCACGATTATATTTTTGTCAATACAGCCCAACATTACCGCTATGTTTCACACAATTATGAACACAATTAGCGCATACGTGGGCCAAGAGTCTGGTGCTGCGCCGCCCTATGGCTACTCCAGTCCAGACATGGGCTACGGGTCGGCGAGTGAGGGCCAGTCACCGGCCACTGAATCCCACAAACATCACAACAAACCCGCGCCGCACGAGGCCAACGCTCATCAACAGCAGCCCTACCACAGAGTCTATACGCCTACAGCCCCGACACCCCCTCACCCACACTCCCAACCCCTTCAACAGCAACAGACATCAGAAACCCTATACGAGCCGGTAATGGCCGACCCAACGGCCCCCACAGCACTTCCACCCCCATCGCCGCCGCCAACATCAGCATCGGCTGTCAGCGCCCCTCGCGAGCCCGTCATACCATCCATTGACTCGTTACATAAAAATCTTGGTCTACCCGCGCATCACAGCCTAATACTGATGATACTGCCGGCCGGCGCCGACATCGAGACCACCGGCGCTGAGGTTAGCCTACGTGCGAATAGTACGGACAGTAGTGGCGGGGGTGGAGGTGGCGGTACTGGTATGACAGCGCCTACCGCTGCACATCACTGGACCAATCAATACAGCGATAGCCATAGCAATAACGATAATAATGATATGACTATTAGGACTAATGCCGTGAAAGTTGGGTCCAAACACTTGAACCCCAAGGGCTGGAGACCAGGTTTGCCGGAATATAGGGGTTAGGGGTGTTTATTATGTTCTCTCTCTCTCTCTCTCTCTCTCTCTCTCTCTCTCTCTCCATCGCTAACTTTAACCCATATATTAAACAACACATAACAACTCATAATTGCATTTTCAGTGCCAAAAACAGTGCCCCCAATAACCACAACACCTCTACCGCCGCAACTCACTGTCCACTCGGCCTACAGTATAAACCACAGGCCGTACGACAGCGACAGCCGACACCCGTCGCCTACTGTCGACTACGATGACCACAACAACAGCGGTCAAGTGTCCGAAGAGACGCCTTCCTATGATGACCACCGGACCGCTGACTATCATCGCAATAATAATAATAATAATGTCGGTGTTATTGGCACAGAATTACCGGCCAATGTGTACGAGTCGTCCGCACCGGGAGGTAGTAGTGGTGGTGGTGGCGGACACGGCCGGCATCATAACCATCATCACCACAATAGTGGTGGCAATACTATCAACGGTTATACTATTGATGGCGAAAATGAGAAGTACTTCAATAGGGGATATCACGGCCACAATCCCTATATTGAAAAGTCACAGTTTGGGCTCAGGAATCGTGATAATCGCCCCATGTTTGATGACTGATGACCATGGTGATTACTTTGGCAATTTATTAAATTAGCTAGTTTTTCTGCGTCTAAAGTTATATGATTTGCACGTTTAATACATGATGCCTAAACAATTATTATGTATGTTTTAAATTATTTTATTTTCATCATGCACTTAAAAAGATTTTTATTTACTGACACTTGATAATTATAATATTATAAGAATGTAAAAGATCATTTATGACTGTGTATTAAATTTTTACTAATAAATCAACTAAAATCTAACTTGATCTAGTAATTAAGAAATTTTTTGAAAATAAATCCGTATTTTTAACATGGTGTAATGTATAAAAAGAATACAAAAATACCA